GGCCGGAGCCCGGCGCTCGCCTCCTGGAAGCCGCGGGTCGGCGCTCGCCCCCGAGGGCGCCCCGGCCTCCGCGCTCGAACAGAAACTGCTCTTCCATTGATTGGGCCCCGTTGGGCGAGGGGCCGGTGCGTGTGCCCCGAGCGAGCGCGTGCGGAAGGCAGAAGGGCAGGAAGTCGGCCTTGGCAGCGAGGGTGGCGGCACCGCGCAGGGGACGAGCCTTCCACATTTATGTGTCTGCCGGCCTTCGCCTTCTTCGCCCTAGGACTTCAGAAGCGTCTCCGAGCTGCGTTCCCCGCGTGGGAGGCACGGAAGGGCTGGATGTCTGAACAACATGATTATCCATTAACCTCCAAACTTCCCTTTCTTTAACCCAAAGAATATCGGTGATTTTTGTCCACTGCTAGCAGAAGAAGAGAGAACCCAGGGCTCTTGAAATGCAGCAAAATCCTTATTTATAAACAGGCCTGAGATAGTGATAGGCAAAGCCCCTGTACTCAGTGCATTTTCTATCCTATGGATATCGGTCTTGAGATTTGAGATTGGAGAGCAGTACCGTCTGCACTGGGGTCTGGCAGCCTCCATCCTTTCAATGCCCAGTCTCCTCTGGGACTGCTGGCCTTCCCTGGAGATCAGAGCGGTACTGTGTGCCATGGGCTGTATTCAGAGCATCGGGGGCAAAGCCAGAGTCTTCCGGGAAGGTATCACGGTGATTGATGTGAAAGCCTCTATCGACCCCATCCCCACCAGCATCGATGAGTCCTCCAGCGTGGTGCTCCGCTACCGGACACCCCACTTCCGGGCCTCGGCCCAGGTGGTCATGCCACCCATCCCCAAGAAAGAGACCTGGATCGTCGGCTGGATTCAGGCCTGCAGCCATATGGAGTTCTACAACCAGTACGGGGAGCAGGGCATGTGAGTACTGCCCCCCGCAAGTGTTAGGGGGGCTGCTCAGGGTGGGGAGCTTGGGGGCCTGGGGTGGGGGCTGGGGGCCAGAGGGGAAGCTTTAGGCAGGTATGGAAGTGGCCTCTGAGTACTTCTTCTTGGCCAGGTGATCTCAAGGGTTTGCCTGTTGATTCAGATTGGGGTCATGGCTCTGGGACCTTCCCTCCCTCTGTCACTAGCCCCTGGGGTTCCTGTGTCCTTCCCTGCAAGAGGCCGAGAATGTAGAGGCGCGTTCCACCACGTGCCTCTTTGGCAAATTTGACAAGCGTGCTGTCCTGGGGCCATTAGAGAGGCTGAGACTCGGCCCCCCCCCAGGCTCGGGCCTCCCCGGGAGGCCCCCGTGGCCGATACTCAGGAGGAGAATGGGGCCCTCGGATGCCTCCATGGTTATTTGTACAGTGCTTTGTGCTGGGCTTGAACTCGTGTCTGCGGCACATGAGGACCTGGGGGAATGCTTTGCTGTTCCTAGGGTGTTTTGTTAGAGAGGATCGCTAGTTTTAGAGACCTGGTTTGTTTCACGGAGTAGCGTGTTTCTCTCTCCAAGGCAGAAGGCCGCTGCATGTAGACATCCAGTGTCAGTGTCCAGAAGGCTCCAGAGGGGCCCTAACAGCTGAGAGGAGCCCACTGGCCTCTTCTCTCCAGCCTGGTCTCCAGAATGTTCCCAGGACAATGCCCGTCTTGGTGCAGGACACGGGGGGCCTGTGTTTTCTTTCCTGCTATGTTCTCTGGCCCCAGAGATGGTCATCCCCGGTCTGGAAAGAGTAGCGATAGAAAGGAAAGCAACTTCGCTTTCAGGGCCGCCCTAAGATAGGGTGGTGAAAAGAGCTCTTTCGGAGCACGAGGTCCCTTGGAGGGAGCTAGGCAGGCCCTGAGGGCAGCCTCCCACCCTGTGCACTCTGCTTCCCGGTTCTGCAAGTGAGGAGCGGAGCAGGGGGTTCCCCGGGAGTTGGACCTTTTCGCTGATTTCAGAACATCCTGCCCCCGCCCCCGAAATTAGAGGGGCTGAGGAGGGGATGGAGGGTGGCAGGACACTGGATCTTGTCGCTTCTCCACTTAACAATTCCAGGGGCGCCTTTGAAGTTGTAAGGGAAACAAGAGGAAGGTGGTAAAGCGTAAAAGGGGGGTGTAACCAGGATCACCCCACGGAGGTGCGTGGGTGGCCTGTCCCTCTGTCAACCTGATGTCTATACCCAGAAGGCTTTTGATTCTCAAAAGTGGCTGTTAACCCAGGTGGGGGCGACTTTCCATGGCAAGAAGGAAAACATGATTCTTAATTATTCTGTGTGGACTCTCCTAGGAAGCCTTAAGCCAGAAGCCTTTTGGAACTTTGTAAAGGATCCGGGATAATTGACAAGACACAAAGGTTTTTCTAGGGGTTTTAGGCGAAGCCTGTCTTCTTCCCTGGAAGCGGAGGGAAAGGCAGAGGGTCTCGCAGAACGTGGAAAGATAGGAGGGCCAGGAGGAAGGAAGTGGGGGAGAACCAGGGGCGCTGAGCTGAGACAGACACGGTGGCGTGCTGTGGGGAGAGGCAGGCCCGGCTGGGGCCTCTGCTTCCCCGTCTGTGCCGGGGGGCTGGAAGCCTCCCTGCGGTGGCTCTGTGTCCTTTCAGGCACTATGGCTGGAGGCAGGCCTGAGGCCAGAGACCCGAGATGACTTTCCCTTTCCACCCCAGTCCTTGCTTCCCGGTTAGAGGTGTCCGGTGCACACCTAGGTTGCAGTCGAGCGGACCCGGGCCAGAGTCCAGGCTCTGCCACTTTCCAGGGTATGACCTTAGCCACTCTGACCCTCGGTTTCCTTGTCCGCGGACAGGGCCAGTCACAGCCCTTGCCTCCTGGCTTACTGCGAGAATTATGGGAGGTGACATTTGTCAAGAGGTCGGCACTGCGCCAAGCCCAGGGTTGTTGTCTTTGATGTTGTTGTTACCGTGACCATCCTTCTCTCAGCCAGGGGCTTGAGCCCTGGTGTCTGCGAGGAGCTGAGAACCGTGGCCGAGACTGCAGAATTCGGATACATGCAAACTTCTGGTCCCGAAGTTTCTCCAGAGCCCGGGTCTCCGTCTTTTACACAGCGCCCACTCCCTGCCTTTTAAAAAATTTAAAAATAGTGCAAGTCATGGATGATTTGCGTTTTCAGAGGTTGAAGGCCGTTTTCTTTGCTCTCCATTTGCTTCCCTTTGTTTCCTCCCCCTCCCTGGGGCACCTCTTACAGCATGGGGGGGCCCTGTGTCCCCTACACCCATTCTTCCTGGGGCCCTCAGCTGGGGCAGGAGGAGCCCCAGGCGGAGGGCAGAGCCTGAGGCTCCCTGGCAGGGGGGTGGGCCGTGTGCAGCAACCCCTCCTGGGCTCAGCCCGGGGGCAGAACAGCCGACCACCCTGGCTCTGGGGCCCTGGCCGGTCACCTGGTGCCTTGTGTCAGCTGTCAGGGGGCATAGGGAAAGAAGTCCCCGCAGGCGGCTTTGAGGGCCCAGTAAGGGAACAGTTCTAGGTGACCATCCTGTGGCTGCGCCGCTGAGTTGGAAGCAACTCCACTTAGTACTCATCGGCCAAATCGTATTAAAAAGTGGAATTACCAGAGAGCGTGGCTCCTCTGAGCCGTGGGCAGAGCTCTGTATTCGACCGGCGCCCTCTGGAAATGCGAAGGGCTCGTTTGGAGAAAGCCCGATGTCTGCTCCTTCTTGAGTGTAAATGGAAGCATTTTAGGTGTGATCCTCCCAAAGCCAAACGATGCTTTTCGTCTTTTTGACCCCGCGACATGACAGAAAGCGAGGGGTGTTCAGGTGGGACTGAGCAGAGACCACGGGGCAGGCCCCAGCTGCCCCTGTCCCGTGCACCGTGGGATAGGGGAGCAGCATCCCTAGACTCTGCCCACTTGGTGCCAGGAGCATTCTGCCCCCGCCTGCACCACCAAACTGTCTCCAGACATGGCCCGATGTCCCCGGGAGGGGTGCAGAGTCGCCCCTGACTGAGAACCACTGGACAAGACCCTCACAATTGGAATAATTAAAATGAAACCCACGCCCTGGGCCTTCGTGGCCTGGGCAGAGGGCAGCTAGGTGGCAGGGGTTAAGGTTAGGGCTTCTCTCCTTTACAAACGGGCTTGTATTCAAAATATTAATTCCAAACACTTAACTGAAACCCATAATACCCCTGCACATTATCCCTGCTTAAAATTAATCTCTAATCCGGGAGAGCTTTCTAGCATGACATCCTGGTTTGAACTGTTTGAAACGGAACCATGGTGCACGCCACCTCAGTAATGCCCCGACTCCTCCAGAGGAGAGCTGCAACATGCTGAGTCTCTCCATGCCAGCTTCACAGGATTCTATCTGGTTTTCGACCAACCCACATTGCTTTAAGAGCCACCCCCCCTCCAAACTGTTGGAGACACCTGCCTCCACAACCCCATCCTCCACGATTCCTCAACCGCCACCTCTCAGCTGGCATAGCCTTCGAAGTGACAAGTCACAATTTCTAGCCTGTGTGGGAGGCGCTTCATGTTGTCCCTAGCTTGCCCTCCTCTGGGGCCCCCAGGGAGGCTGGGGCATGGCTGAGGCCAAGGCCAGGGCTGGTTGGGGGTGGAGGGGAGAGAAGAGCTTAAGAGAGAGGGTCTCTGTGGGTGGACGGTGCAACTCCCCACGTCCTAGTCCAGCCAGGTGTGGATCCCAGCTCCCGCCCTACACTGGAGCTGCCAACTTGAGGCCAGTCTCTTAACCCTTCTGAGCCTCTCTGTTCCCATCTATGACATGGGGAGAACGGTCCTTTCCTTCCCTGGGTGGTTGTGAGGACTAAATGACATGAGGCGCGATAAGAGCTCGGCACGGTGCCCGGTGCATTCCACGCACTCGATCCATGGCCCCGTCAATACTGCGAGTTCGTCGTTAATCCTGCAATGCCTGGTGGGGTCAGCAGAAAGATTGCTGTGGCAGTGCTGTGCTCTCTTCTGGGCTGGGTTTCGCAGGCCCGCCTACAGCATGAGAGCCGTGAGTGAGGAGACCTGCAAGGAAGGGTCTTTCCAGCCAGAAGTGTGGTGACACCTGCCGTCAGGGCCGTGGGAGGCTGGTGGGCAGGGGCCAGGCAGGGGTGGAGGGACTGAGGCTTCAGGCGGAGGGATGTGCACAGCTGCCCCGGCTCCCCTTCCTCCCTTGTGTCTCCAGGGCCTCATGGGGTCCTCATTTTATGCTGGGGAAGCCACCTCTGAGACCTGAGGCCACTTGCCCAAGGGGGCTTGCTCTGCTCTGGTCGGGGACCATGTGGCCTCTTCCTGCTGCGCGGGCCCGCACAGAACAATCGAGGACGAAGCTTCCTCTCTGGGACCGGAAGGCGGCCTCCCCCATCTGCTGGGCCCTGGCAGAGGCGAGGGCGGCGTGGGTGGGAGAGGGAAGTCCTTGTTTCCAGGCTTTGGGGTGGGAGGAAGTTGGGGGGGAGGACTGCCCGGCCCAAAGAGAGCTCCCCACGGACCGGCCCTAGCCAAGCGATGGCTCCAACCTTCACCTTCCGAGTGCCCAGTGCCGCAAACAAAAGCTGGCTGCGCGCGGAGACGTGCAAGGAGGGACCCGACCGCCGCAGTGACCAGGGAAATAACGATTAAATCCTGAGATCCTCTGTTGTTCGCTGACCAGATCCGGGCAGAAATGAAACTGATCACTAATGTCCTGGGTGGGGGTGGGGGGAAGTGGCCAGCCTCACCCGCGGTTGGAGGGGGCACGATGTAGACAGCTTCTAGAAGGTGAGTTTGGCTGGATCTATGACAATTTCAAACAGCCATGCCCTTCAGTGCTGTTCCGCTTGTGGAGTTTGTCTTACAGAGACTTGGAGCACCTGGCCCAGTGCCTGACATAGAGTAGGCGGACGAAAAAAAATCTCCTGACCAAAAAAAAAGAGAAAAAAAAAAAATTGCCTAATGCATGAACGGAAGAGCCAGGGCGTAAGGATGTAGGTATGAGGTTGGAAACTCCAGCGCTGTTCGTAACT